AATCCAGAAATTTTAAGTAGTAGGGATAATATTCATACATAAATTTGTAGTATTAAACGTGTAATTTTATATTTTTTTGAAATATAAATATGCATCAATTTGTTTTCTATGAGATTTCATATTTTAAAAATATTGAACAATTTTCTTATTTTTAACACTTTCAAAAATATCTCTTTCTATATATCCTAGCTATATCAAAAATTTGACCTTTTTTCATTTTAAAAAGTATAATATAAATTTAGATCAATCATTACTTCTTAATTCCTTTACTGACTTGACTTAACTATAATTAATACTCTTATTATCTCATAATAAATATGATTTTAGGTTGTTTTATACACAGGCTAGAAATAAGAAATCTTGTAATTAATTTTCTTTATTATAAACAATGCAATACAATATTCACTTTTTAAAAAATATTATGAAGGATATAAATAAAAAAAATTAGTATTATATTAAAAAGTTAACATGACACTTATTTCAAGATTTTTTTTTTCAAACATGATTTTTATTATGAGACAGAGTATTATATATACTGTGAAGAAATACTTTTAAAACTTAATATATATCGACTTTGACTTTTTTAACAAAATAAAAGTATAGAAAAGAGTGGGAGCCCTTAGTTTTTAACATGACAAGTGTGAGTAGATTATTATAAATTTATAATGAGTTTAAATATGTTTTTAATATCTCAAATTTAAGGTAAATTTATTTTTAGTCTCTCAAATTGAAAATTAGTCTTTTTAATCCTTGTAATTTTAACAAAATCTTGTATTAATTTTTATGCTCAAATTTTGTTAGGAAATTTATCAAATATTTCCGCCTAAAACCCATGTCTTTTATCAATCAAATATCACATTAAATCTAGTTGAAACTATATTACTTTCTTAATTTGTCACTTTTATATGTTATTGATGACTTGAGAGACTAAAATAAGATTTTTAAAAATTATATGAAATAAAAATAAAAATTTTAAAGTAAGAAAATTAAAATATATTTAAATTTTGATTATATATATATATATAAACTAATTAAATATAAAAAAAAATGTTAGTAAGGACAAATGGCCCCACTTTGAACCATGTGAATCCGTCAATGCATACAATATATATTATTGAATCTCATTTAAATTAGCACAAAAATTATGTTTTTATATATATCAAATATATTTATACTTATATATATTATATCTATAATGATACTTTGTGTATATTACTGTATGTATGTAATATTATTTGTAGTGAAGTAAAGATTTACCAATTTGCATCACAATAATACAATTGTTTTATAATTAGTAGATATAGAATATAGAAATAAATTATTTTGTCAAAAGTTTTTAGCTTAAATATTTACGTAGCTAGGTTAGACTTATTTATTGATGAAATACTTGCAAATATATAAATAAGTTTAAGATCATTTTCGAATAAGATTTCTTTATAAACACTTACTAGGAGAAGAAATTAAAATTAAATTTAAAATAAGTTTTTTTATTATAACTTAATTTTAATTTTTGAGAGAAACTTATTTATTTTTATTCTTAATTTTTCATTTATAAATTTTTTATAGAAAAGTTTATAAAAACTCAGTTATAATATCTAAATTTTATATGGTTGTTTTAAATACAATAGATAAAAATTATTGCAGTTTTATAACGAATCTTAATATATTAATTTGATAATATAAAATTGAATGGAAATGAAAAGAAAATACGGTGAATAAAATTTAATTAAATCCATTAATTAGGATATTTTTCCTATCTTTAAAAAAAAATGCCATAATTGTAAGTGTACGTTATACGTTAGTAGCCAACCCTTTATAATCAAGAATATATCCAATATCCATGTTACGAAAACCACAAACAAAATATACTATAGCACATGTGTGAATCATTACAATAAAATGGACTTTTAATGATATTTAATATAATTTTTTTTAGTAGTAATAAAAAATTTTACTAGCATTTTCACATTAGTTATTGTATGCAGTGTCGCTAAAATATTTATCGGCAATTAATTCTTCTGCATGTTGGTAAAGACCCTTATAATATAAGTTTTTGTGACATTATTTTACTGCCATTTAATATTTTTTTGCTATTGTCACTAAAAGTTTAAGAAATGATTCATAATACTCGATGTGAGACTTGTAAGATGGGGGTTGTCCTCTACTTATATATAGGGGTGGGTATGCGGACCGGTCCGGCCCGTTTAAGGCCCGGTCCGCGAAGTTCGCATTTTTAACAGGCCGGATAAATCCGGTCCGCGAAATAATGGACTTAAATCTTCAAGTCCGTATCCGGCCCGTGAAGCCCGCGGATAAACGGATAAGTCCGCGAGCCCAATTAAATCTAAATTTTTTAAATGAATATTGACTTAGATTTTGAATTTCATTTCCTTTATTTAACCTATGAAAATATGAGGAAAAAAAAACATATAAAATGATATAAATATACTTCTAATAATAACATCAAACCTTGTAAATAATATATCAAAGTCTTAAATAACAAAGTTTGCACATTCTAAATTTCTAATAGAAATATTTAAGTCTCAATGCCTTTAAAATTTAAAGTCCAAGCATACCAACTATTAACCAAATATTAAAGCTTTACTACCTTAAAACTTTAAAAGTCTTAATACACAACCAAACAAATATAAAACATTTGTAAGTCCAAGTACATCAAAGTCTAAATACCTTAAAACATCAAAGTCTTAATTAACATCTTAAAAACAAACATAAAATATTTGTATGTCCAATTACATCTATCAAATATAATCAAGCATCTTCAATAATAAAATTTGAGTCCACATTTAAACGGGTAATCCGCAAAATCCGCGGACTAAACGGGCCGGACCTAAAAAGTCCGTATAATTATACGAATTAAAAGAAATGGGCCCGTTATCCGTGAAGTCCGCGGACTTACGGACCGATCCGCGGACTCAAGTCCATATACCCACCCCTACTTATATACGACTTGAATTTTTTTCTTATTTTTTTAACAGTCTTATCTTCTAAGAGACATGGGACTTGCAAGGTGAGAATTTTGTTAATGTGGGACTTGGTAACAGTGAGTAATTTGATACCAACTTAAAATAGTGATTTATAGGTCTAACTCAACTTACAAAACAAACTTGTAAATAGAATTATCATCCACTTATATACTTTTTAATTATCTTATCCCTTGGGACTTAAAACTTTTTCTAATAAACAATTGTCGTTAATAGTAAATTTTGGTGTTATGTAAATACATTTTTAGTAATTATTATATATTAGTCATTAATATTTTTATTATATAATAAAATATAGACAATTAATTTATTATCGTTAAATAATTGTTAGTAATAATAAATTTTGTTGTAATGAAAATATGTTATACCTACGTAGTAAATATTTTATTTGTTTGAATATAATTAGGGGATGTTATTTCCTACTTCACTAATTGTTTGTATATATATATATATATGGGGAGAGAGGGAGAGAGAGAGAGAGTTCAAATGACATCAGTGTAATTTTTATTAAGTATTACATCGTTCAATAACTTTATATATTAAATGTGAATTTATCATATATACAAAATTTTATATTAATTCAAAATAATTTGATACTTCATTCTTATAAAACAAAATTGATGTAATATATACATTTCAAAATATAATCAAATATGAACACTTTGATTATTTGAACTTCAAGCTATTGTTCAATTTTAACAAAATTTGATATAAACATATAAAGTGATATGAAGTTATAATTTAATAGTTTGATTTAAAAAAATTCAAATTTAATATAAAATTATTGAACGGTATAATAATTAATAAAAATTACACGAGTGTCATTTTAAACCTTTCTCATATATAT